ACGCCACCCAAGCCCGGGGTCCCCGACGTGGCCGCGGATACGGTTCGATTTGCGTGCGAGTTCCTGGCATCGGCCACCGAGCTGCGGCGCAGCGCGGTCCAAGACGCGTGCTTGGAGCAATACCGAGCCTTGCACCACTCGCCCATCCACGCGCTGACCCTGCGCCTCGCCTCCAGCACCGAACTGGCGACCAACCCGGCCGTGATCCAGGCAGTCGCCGACGCACTGGCGGTGCTGGTCGAGCCCGAGGCGCTGCCATTGGGCGGACTCATGTCGGAAGCAGGAGGGCCTACCATGGTCCCACAGCTCACCCCGGCGTACGACGCGTTCCAGGCCATGTTCTTTTCGGCGCTCGTGCCTGCGGTGCCGCGCGTCATTCGGAACGTGCTGCTCCGAGGATCCATTCGATTAGCGCCCAGCGTACTGGCACCGCCCGGAGCGGAAGCCGGCGTCCCGATCGCGACGCTCCCACTGACGGAAGTGGAGCGCGTTTATCAACTACTCGAGCTGTGGACGCACATGCTCCGAATCAATGCCACGCGGTTCTGCGAGATTGTGTTCTTGAACCAGGCGCCCGTGATCCCGGGCGGGCCGGTGCTCTCGTTGGACGAGGTGACACTGGAGGTTCCAGAGCACGACGTCACCGTCAAGCTGGCGTCCAGGTCAGGCACAGCCCTAGACTGGATCCGCATGCTGCTGTTGTGCAGCCACAAGCACGTTCAGCTCGCGGCGGCGCGGTTTGTGCGGACCGCATGCAGCATTGCCTCGGACGAGCTGGTGGCGCAGCTGCGGTCGGCGCGGCTGCTGGAGGCAGTGTGCGAGATGGTGCTCATGACTCGCGGCCGGTACAACCTGGTCAACTCGGCCGGCTTGGACGTGCTTCATGGCGCGATTCGGGCTGCGGACCCGGCAGCCGCACCGGAGCGACTGCTGGTGTCTTCGCTCACGGTGCTCGCCAATACACGCGTGATTGCGAACTTGGCCAAGACACTGGTGCGCCGCGCGGCCACCGAGCTCGTGTATTGTCCTGCCCTTTTGGAATCGGTCGGGTTGGCAGTCACGGCGGGCGGGGCCGTTGCACCCACGTATCACCAGGGGGGCCACACTGACTATGACGACAGCGACATGATGGACTTTGGCGACGACAACGACTTCCATCATCAACATGACGTTGACGACGACGACGACGTGACCATGACGAGCAAGAGCCGGCTCGAGATGGGCGATGTTGTTTCTTCTGCTGCTGCTTCGATGAGCAATGGCTGTACGTTTTCTAACTTTTTTCTTTGAATTAGAAGGTACTCACACACAATCTTTGAAAAGCAACGACCCCAAACCAAGAACCATTCACCACCGCCGCGTCCATGTCGTCGTCGATTTTTGGCTCGGCCCCGGTGCTTCCACCAGCGCCGCCCGGAACACTGCCGCCAGTACCACCACCACCACCGCCATCGTCCGTGGCCGCGAACTTGGTGTCGTCGGATCTCGGGTCTCTGCCGACATCCAGCCTCGGCGCTTCGAACTTCGCGGTGTTTGGCACCACCGGCGCTGACGTGTTTGCAATGGATGTCAGCGGGGCCTCTGCCATAGACAAACAGGAAAAGGGGACGGCAGCGACTGGGGTCACCAAGCGCGCACGGCCACCACCGACGCGGCTCGTTCGGTACAGCAGCGACGACGACGACGACGACGACAGTCATGTCGGCAATGGAGGGGTCGCTGCCAGTGGCGCGGTGCGTGGGCCCGGCTTGTTTGGTGCCCGCAACAGCAGCGGCGGGTCGGGGGTCTTTGGCGGCCGGGGTCACGGCAGCAGTAGCACCGCCATTACCGCATCCTCGTCGTCGTTGGCGGGCAAGGGACCAAAACGCATCGCATTTAAGCAGTCTGCACCAAGCACCAACGCTGTGGCCGCCGCATCCGTCGTGATCGCCGCGTCGTCGGCTACAGGTACCACCAGTGCAACCTCGGCCACGCTGTGGCGAGCGGCCGAGAAGCCCCCATCGTCACCAGCACGCCAGGCAGTGGCGGCGACCGTGGCCGATGTGGCGCGAGCTCTGGCGTCCGGAACTCAGGCGGCTGCTGCTGCAACGCCGGCAGGAACCAAGACTGGATCAGAGGACGCAGACACTCCATCCAGCGCAGGACATTAATTTATTTAAAAAAATGCTTTTCATTATCGCGACTAGAAGTTGGAATTGTAGATTGTCAGGGGAACTTTGCGCTTGGCCTGCTCGTGGAGACGGATCCACCACTCGATCGTTGTCACGGGAGGCGTGTACCGCACAAGGCTGGCATGGACTAGCGCGGCATGGGCCGCGGCAAAGAACCGGTCAGGGCCGAGCGTCGCTCGCCACCACTCGAGGAGCAGGACCGAGTTTGCGCATGTCGCAGTGGCAATAGCGCGGTTCAATGAGGTGTTTTCGTTCAGGGGATGGCCGCTGAACTGTATGCACCACCGGAGCATGTCCATGGACGCGCACAGGGCCAAGCACTCGTGAATATGGCTCTTGAACTGCGACTCGGGATTGGCAGAAAGAGCGAGAAGGGATAAGGAGGTCTGCATCCAGTGGGCAATGGCCAGTTGGTCGTAGCGGACAGCCGCCATCACAAGGTCGCAGATCAATGCGTCGTCGAATCCAAACCGCGCGTGCCACCATTGCAGGCCACTCAGTCGGCCGTTCTTGGCAGCAATCACCAGGGACGACAACGGGTTGTTTTGGAGCAAGAGCGGCGCCAGCTCCGGTTTCGAAGCGTACCAGTCCAAAACCGTGTCCCCATGCTCTATGGAGATCGCCACTGCTCGGAGCTGGTGGAAATCGGTCTCTTTGCGCACATTTTGCCATCCCCATTCGAGAGCGTCACGGCGGCCATGGACGACAGCTTCCATCACGAGTGGGCGAATCCATTCCAAGCTACTACCATTCTCTCGACACATGACAACGGCACGGGCAATGTTCTCGAGCAAAGGGGGAGGGTGCCGAAAGTTCAGGTTGTAAAATGGGTCGGAAATCCCGGGTTTCTGCAGGGGATCGGTTTTCCTGGCGGGCAGAAAAAGCAGGTCGGACTTGTCGGCAAGGAACTCGGTGGGATTCAGACTGCAGCGCCGAAACAGGTGCTCGATGCTGGACGCCTTGCCGAACCCGTGCTGGTCGGTTTTGTAGGCGCGGAATTTATACAACCACCACTGATTGACAGCGCTAGAATCGATGTGAAAGGATGTGCAAACAATGGAAGCAAAGCCCTCGGGCGAAGGGAGTTTCCCATGGGCCTTGTGCTCCCACCACCAGTCCAGCACCACCACTTGAACTTCCAGGGTTGCGGCTCGAAGCATGGAATGCTCGTTAAACGCCAATTCCATTTCGGACAGTCCCCAGTCTTGCGCAAACCACCACTCGATCGCTGCGATATTGCCATACGCGGCGGCAGCGCGAAGCACTTGCGGGACCAAGAGCACGTTTTTGGCGCGCATCCACTCGAGGACCGGTATACCGTTGGGATTGCCCGCCACCCGGTACTGAGTCGTTTCCACGATCCAGGTCCGGCGAATGTCGAGTCCCTCGGGCGGCGGCTGCGTACAGTACGCGTTGACGGGGTGGGTAAGCGCTGCCGACGGGTACCATTCCTCGACCCAGCCCATGATGTGGAGGTGGCCAGCGTCGCACGCGCCGTCAAATATACCGCGGCGTAGCCATATGTGGGCTGTCGTTGGAGCGTCACTAAACCGTTTATGACACCATTGCAGGAGGGGCAGATCGCCGAGCGAGGACGCGGCCTTGAGCACCTCGGCCATATTATCGGCAATGTATGCGTGCGGGTATCGGCGCAGCATGGTGAGTCCGCTTTTTACCAGTGCAGCAGGCCGGAACTGGCGAAACCCACACGAGAATATGGCCGAGAGCACGTTGGGGGTCGCCGGCAGTACGTGTAATATGGTGACCGCATCGTGGACCGTCAAGCATGCCGCTGCCGCTTGTGCCAGGATCAGGTTGGTGGTGTCAGCGTCGATTGTTGCCATTGTGCAAAATGTCATTTCAAGCTATCACGACAAGTCGCTCGACGACCAGCAGATCTGTGCAGGAAAAAAAAACAAGAAAATCCCGATCAAAGACGCCGTCATTCCCACCTATGCCACCCGGCTTGTGGGCCACCGCGTAGTTGATGACCCCATTGAAGTCCGGCTGCGGAATCTGACAGTGGTGGGTGCCTCCACTGCCAGTGAGCAGGATCTCCTGCCTGCGCAGCTAATCCTCTACAAACTGAAGTAATGAAGATGGAACGACTCTCTTCTCATAAACAACAACAGCACCCAGCCCTCTGCAACCAACGTCCCACTAATTGTAACACCCACAGACAGCAGGGTCCTCTCCTCTACCAGATGATGCCATGCTTGGCAACCAGACCGAGCAGCTGGTCACTGACTTGTTGCACGTAAGAGCGCACAGGATCCATGGCACTACCACGAACCACCCTGGCACAAGGCGAATGCAGCAACTTCGGAATGTCAACCTCTGGCCCTTGGCGCAGAGTCACGCACGATCGTGGCCTACTCTGATGGCTCACTGACCAAGACTGCCGACCGCGATGCGGAGCAGCTTGGTGGCTCTGGAGTGGTATTTCCCTCTTCAATCAACTAGATTGGCCTTGGTCTCTGCCTCCCTGCTGGTCCCTACTCGAGTTATTACACGGAACTCTGGGCGGTGCTCCTTGCAGTGGTGGTGTGTCCACTGTGACGATTCGGACGTCACGTATTTAATGTATTGGGAACTCGCGACAGGAACTTGTCTTTGGTTCACTGTCGCGAGTCAATTGTTTGGCAAGCAGATATATATTCTCTAAATCCTTCCACGGACCTCATGCTGTGATTAATAAGAGAAGCGTGGTAGCGGGAATTGGCCAGTTTCTTGTTGTCCTGCCTGGTTTGGCTTACCAGGCGTGGCACGTGTTCAATTTTGATACTCTTTTATTGAATATCATTGTGCAGGAACGAGCTAAAAAAACATGTTCTCATAGTGTAGTGGTTATCACGTTTGCTTTACATGCAAAAGGTCATCGGTTCGAACCCGATTGGGAACATTTTTTGCTTTTGCCTCATTCTGAGTGACGAAAGTCTATTTTTTACAACTCAACCACTCGTAAGAGTGGACGCGACGGCTAAGCAAGGCGAAGCGTTTTCGAGGGATATACATTGGGGTAACCATATGTTGTAGAGCTGCCATGATCGGAAGGGACTTGAAAACCGAGATCATGGAGACCGAGATCTTTTTTGAGGAAGGCATATATTACTTGGCGCGGTCCTGTCCAGGACAGTAGTCTCGTGTGCTCCGTGGGGAGTATCCGGAAGCCAGTGAGGAAGAAATTGGAGAGGAATGAGAAGTCGCCGGCGAGGGCCCAGCTGTACTTGGAGAGGCAGACCGTGTCGTCAAGGCAGCACGGTGGCATGCCCAGGCTGAGAGGGGTATTGCACACGCAGTACCCGAGGTTATGGTTGGGGTTGGGTGGGTGGGGGCCTGATACGATCCTGCAGTGCTTGGCTTCAGCTGTCTGCCTGCTGCACAGTGGCCAGATCACTTACTGACTGGACCAAGAGTGGGTACGTCGAGGGTCACTGCCACATCGGTCGGAACTCCTCGCACCGGCAGGGATTTAAATACGGAAACCGCATCGATTCCTTTTCCCTTCCATCAACACCAACAACCCGGCCAATATAAATATATAATGCTTTTGGCACAACGATACGTCCGCGTCCCATTGCGCGTGCTGGCAAGCACGACGTCGGCAACGTCGGCACTGATGAACATGTCGGTATCCCGCCGGCGCCTACAGTCCTCCACGGCCGCCGCTGCCCGTACAACCCCTCCCGCCACAACAATGGCATCGGCGGCTCTTGGCGTGGCCGCGTCGCCCGAACCGCTGTTTACGCGTCTTGCAAGCATGGTCACGGGCCTTTTCGCCACGACTCCCCAGCGGCAGGTACCACCAGCTTTGACTTCGGCCGCGGTCTTTGTACCCGCCGCCAACTGGAAGGACGCGGTGGTGCGCGCGCAACAGCTGGTGGTTCCCCCCGGTGGCGGGCCGATCGGTATCGACCCCATGGATCTGGTCGGCAAGGACATGGCGTCGCTGACGCGCAACATCCGGGCGCTCCTGACACCCGAGACCCAAGTACTTCGGCGTATGGCCCAGTACTACTTCCACCGCGACGGAAAACACGTGCGGCCGCTGCTGGTGCTTTTGACTTCGCAGGCAGTGCGCGCGACGGTCCCAGTCGGAGCGGTTCCTCCAACCCCTCGCACAGCCCCTGGAGCGCCGGCGGACCGGGCATCGATTAACTCGTCCATTTCTCCCGCGCTGACCGGATTCGGTTCCATCGATGCCGTCGTGGGTGCCGATGGGATTTTGCCCGCACAGCGACGGCTGGCCGAAATCGCCGAAATGATCCACACCGCGTCTCTGCTGCACGACGACGTGATTGACGGGTCGTCCACGCGGCGCGGGGTGCCGTCGGTCAATGCTGAGCAGGGCAACAAGATGGCGATCTTGGCCGGCGACTACTTGCTGGCGCGTGCGTCCATGGCGCTGGCGCGGCTGCGGCACTGCGAGGTGGTGGAACTGCTGGCGGCAGTGATTGCCGACCTGGTGGAGGGCGAGGTGATGCAGCTACGCAACACCGCGGGAGCCGACACCGCACCGGCCAACGGCTGGCAATCGCCCAGCCCCGTGCCGGTCCCCGGCGGGTCGTCCCCGGCCTTGGACCATTACCTGGAAAAGACGTACCTCAAGACCGCGTCGCTGATGGCCAAGTCGTGTCAGGCGGCTGCGGTGCTGGGCGGCGCTCCCCAGACCATTTCCGCTACCGCCGACACGTACGGCAAGCACTTGGGCCTGGCGTTCCAGCTGGTCGACGACATGCTGGACTTTACCGCGTCCGCGGCCGATTTCGGGAAACCCGCTGGTGGAGCTGATTTGGATTTGGGACTCGCCACCGCACCGGTCCTGTTTGCGGCCCGCGAGCACCCGGAACTTCTGGTGATGGCCGAGCGCCGGTTCAGTGGGCCCGGCGACGCCAAGCGTGCGTTCGATCTCGTGCACGCGTCCCAAGGGCTGCACCTCACGCGCGAGTGGGCCGTGGCCCATGCCCAGTTTGCGGTGCAGGCCATTTCGGTGTGGCCGGCCACACCCGCGCGCGACGCGTTGGTGGGGATGGCGGAAAAGGTCTTGACTCGGTCCAAGTGATTTTTTCTTTTCCTTTACTTAGGTATACATATATTAAGGTTTTACGACTTGATCCTGGGTTTCGGTTTCCACCACCACCATGGCCACCATGAAATCGCCGTCGTGCGAGATCGAGAGATGGGCATGCAAGTGCCCGTGATCGGGATTGACAAATTTCAAGTGTGGTTTTGGACTTGGATCCTTGACCACTTGCACGTCCTTCCACTCGAGGTACACCTGTGGAAAGCACGCCTTGAAGACTGCTTCCTTTGCAGCCCATCTTATTATTTTAAAGTGAGTGTTAAGATTATTTAAATGAGAATGTAAAAACTAACCGAAGTGCAAGAAACCGAGATCCTGCGGCCAGGTCAGAATACAAGAGCGGTTCCATCCATGCTTGTTCTTGGGCAGACAAGATGCGACGAGCAAGTGCACGGGATCGTTTGGGATCCGACGCGATGCGTGCGATCCGGCGAGTGTCGAGGAGATCCACCCCAATTCCAAGCAACCGTCGTGACATACTTTGATAATTGGGATGAAAGAGATATTTGATTTTGCAGAAAAAGAAAAAGAAAAGAGAATTCTTCAGTTCCCCATGCCAAACCGCACACGGCCAAACCCACTAGTAGAGGCACCACCAAACGGCGGATCCATGTTCATCATGCCGCCATCCGTGGCAGCGCCCGCCCCGCGCTGGCCCAGAGCGCCAAACAACGCTGAAGAGCTAGCGCCAAACAGGACGCTGGCCGGCGGCGTGGTCGCTCCAGAGGCGGCAGCATTAGCAGCGATCACTCCGCACGGAAGCGGTGTGGCAGCGGCAGTGTTGCTCACACCACCGCTGAGGTAGCTGGGGGCTGAAAAGAGGCCCGAGTGCTGTTCTTCAGCGACCGGATTGTACAACGAGACGGCAGGGCGTGGTGGTGGCGCCAGGCCGAGGTGCCACCCAAGCGATCCGGTAAAGATGGCAGTGGCATCGGAGAATTGATTATTGGCGAGCGAATTGGCGTGTCGCAGTCTACATACAATTGAGTGAGCAAGATCCAACCGACGAAAATGAAGAAAAACTATATACAGCTTGTACCATTCTTCCACCACCGCGCGGGGAAGCACGCGGCCGTGCATGTCGCCCCACTGCGCGCCTTCAGCCATGGCCGACCGCCACGAGTATGCAATGCGGTGCATCAGGTCCATCTTGGCGTGGTTGTGCGCCGGCGTGGTCCAGTCCGGGAGCCGTGCGACCAGCTTGGTGGCGGCGGCCAGCAGCGTCACGACCGTGGAAATGTGGTCGAGAGCACGGGTGGCGGCATCGCCCTCGGGCGCATTTGGATTGGCGGGCGGGGCCAAAAAGTAGTCAATGTAATCGATGACGGCGTTCTGTGCATGTGAAAGTGGTGAGCGATCAGTGGAGGAGAAGTCGAAAAGAGAAAATATAAAAAAAAAAGTGCATACCTGAATTTCCTGCAGGACGCCCTGCACGCGCGAGAACGAGTAGTCGTTGAACACGGGCCCATCGCGGGCGTATGGCACCGCCGCATGGAACCGGCGTTCGAGGTCCTCAAAGTGCCGGGTGACCGCTGGCACACTTGGGCGGGGAATGACAGCCGCAAGCAGCGCGTGCACGTCGGGCGACCCGCGCTCGGCCACCGACATGACCACGGATGCCAGCGCATCGCGGTCGAGCAGTGCCAGCGACCGAGTCAGTTGGCGGCGCAACCCGGCGGCCGAGTCCGGTGGCGGCGGAGGTGGGGGCAAAAATGATGACGATGACGACGTCTGCCATGGCGCCGTGCCACGATACCGCTTGGCCCGGCGAGCTTGTTGGCGGTCACCATGACTGGCATTGTCGTCGTCGCTGTTACGTTCTTCATTCTGCCCAGTCCCATCTTCATGACCAGGCGATGCGGCACGCTTTCGAGAAGTCAAATTCGAGGACGATAGGGACGATGAAGTCGGCATAGTAGAGGATGGGGGCAGTGTGCCCGGGAACCGAGTCGAGAAAATGCGGGGATCTGTTGCAGCGGCCATTCCAGTCTGGTCTCGTACGATTACGTTATAAAGGCATGCACCAAAGAGAAATGATGGGAAGGCATTTTTGCACAACGCAACGTCGCCACATTGTGCCATCTCACTGAGCGGATCCAAACGATTTTTTTTTGTAAAGGTACACTGTATACCTCTCACTCACATATATACTCACTCAACGTCTCTGGAAAATCACTCAAGCGCGCGTAGGGCCATTGCGGCCGGCCGGAGGCTTGCCACCAGTGCCCGAGGCCGGACGTGGCCCGCCCGAGCCGCTGCCACCAACGCCGCCGCCGCCAGGCCCACGGGTGGCGCCGTTGCTGTTGGTACCCGAGGACCGAGGGCCACCACCCGACTCGTAGCTCCCACCGCGCGGACCGCCGTGCCCACTGCCACCACCGCTACCGCCGCGGCCGCTGTACCCACCCGGCCCACCAGCGCCGCCGGGCCCACCACGGCCAGCCGGCCCGCCCGTGAACGGCTTGCGCACCTCAATGAGCAGGTCGCGGCCATTGACCATCGCGCGCGACCCAATCGCCGCACGGGCCTCGGCCTCGTCGCTGAAATCGCCAAACGCGCCCGTCCGGTTGGACTTGACCTCGATCCGCGCAAACTTGATGGTCGAGAACACGGACGCCAGGTCCTGCTCCGACTTGATGTGGTCGTGCGCGGGGGTCGTGAATCGAATGTACGTCGACCGCGTGTGCGGCGGGTACAGCGGGCCTTCGTACATAGTCATGGGCGGGCGCACGACCGACGCGGCGGCGGTGGTGGTCGGGCCGGAAGAAGCCGACGCGTGGGTCTCGGTTGCGGCGGGAGCGGCGGCGGCGGCCTTTGGT